AAGATGGCTTTGCAACAAAACTACAACTAGGCTACAAACAGGCTTCTAATAAGTTATTGTTAGCATGTGTAATAAATAAATAAACAAGTTAAAAGTTTTAGGACCAGTTAGAAGAGCATTTGCTGTTAATATGTGGGATTTCTCGCTGTTTTTTCTAAATGAACTTGGATGTTTTCTTCTAATGTATGGCAAGTACTTATTGGAAACCGTTTATAATGTGGTCACTCTATCAAATGTTCAGATCTTGCGGTTCCCCTGCTGCTGCAACAGGAAAGAGACCAAGCTATCAGACACAGCTCCAAATACATGATAGATTGAAATTTATGTAAAGATGATCAAAAAAATAAATAAATAAAGGTTTAAGTAATCTAGTATCATTTAACAATAAATTAGCACACTTTAGCGGGATTGGTGGGTCTTATTCATATATGTCTAACTGAGTCATGGTTCACATGCTTTTGTTTAGCAGAGCAAGTAATTAATCTAATATGTGGCAGCTCTAACTGACTCACATCTCATTGAAGTGGCCACGATACACAGTTGGTGAAGCATTTACTACAAATACACATAATTATATAATACACCTTTGTAAATGAGGAGACATCATTAGTTAATTTTTTTTCTTCTTTTTTTAATTTTCCATAGTCCAACTGTTTTTAATGTTCTTTCTCGTTTCTGCATCTTTTTCATTATTTGTTATTTATTTTTTGTCTACTTGCTCTGATTGTGTTTTATTTTCCTATATTTTAATCATGTAAAGCACTTTGCATTGTCTTTGTACTGAATTGTGCTATACAAATAAATTTGCCTTTGCTTGCCTTGCCTATTGTCTCAGATAGAAACACAGAGAACTCGCCGATCCACTCTGTCTGTGCCCCTGTTTAATTCCCAAATCTCTGTTATGTACATAATGAACATGATAACTGTATATACGGACAGATGAACTGTCCTTATTACCGTAGAAAAACTAGTTGGAAAACATTAGTTTTGACTCGCATCATTCAAGTATTATTAGGGCTTACATCACAATCTTAATGAAAATGAACATAACTCCATTTCATATCTCAATTCAACATATCTAAAACCTTAATCCTACACGCTGATGGAACGTTCGCTGCAGAAACTCCAGTAAATAAGCTGTGAAGATAAATATACTGTTCGTCCACAAGCAAGCATATAACATACTCAATTAACCTACCTGTGAACAAGATTAAGATGAAGAAAATGAAGGAGCCCATCATTGCTTAACCCAGTTGAGCTTTTTGAAACCCTTCCTGTTACATGGTTGATATTTGTGTCTATTAAAAGACATCCCCTCAGTGGGAGGTTCTGCTGAACCAAATGAGAGTTGATTCATATGTGGATTATAGCTGTATTGCATGTATCTGAACTATGTTAAGAAAAATCATAAACTCAAGGTTATATATATATAAAAAATATATACATNTTCCAGATAAACTTTGGTTTCAAACACAGAATCCATCTTAAAGTGTACTATGGTTTTCAACCATGTTTCCCCTTCCTCTTTGTACATAGCAGTTTAGTTTAGATTAGTTGAATTTCACTAGTCTTAGTTGTAGAGTGTTTAACTGAAATATGTTGGACTTGGAGCTGAATGATGTTTGTTAATAAACTCTTATATTTTTCACAGAAGTTGTGGTGAATTTATTTCATGTGTGTGCAGAATTAACAGTTTGACCATGATTAGTGCTCAAATCACTCTTTCATTTATTCTTCTAACATACGGCTAGTAGAGCATGTGTTCATAAACAGTATATAACGGCCAAAATAATATCTGGTTAAATAAGATATTTTCCACCTCTACCAGGGAGGGCAATACACATCTTAAAGTATCAGAAATATAAATTCCCAGCTGGCTGGGAATAGAATAGAATATAAAATCCCAACACCTGTGTTGTTGTTTTTTTTTTTGTTAGTTTTTTTTTTTTATGTTGCTGGTTCATCAGTTGTTGCTTTTGTCATATATGAAAGCACTATGAGATGTGTACAAAGTGTACCCTAGCACAGAATACTAAAAACCTTTGGTTGATGGCTTCAGCATGAAAATAAACACCTTAAAAAACAAAAACAAATAAAGCTTATGCCTTGGTCTTTTGAAAAGGCACTATGTTTTAATCAAGAAGCTATTTGGAAGTAAAAAAAAAAAAAAATGAAGTGAGGATTCATTAGAAGTTCATGGCTGATTCACGTGCACAGAGCTAACCACAGAGATTTGTTTTATCTTTATCAATACAGGTGTGAACCATAAAAATACCAAGAATAGAACTGTGTGTGAACAAAGTAAAGCTAACACAAGTGAAGGAAAAAGTGAGAGCATTAACAGGTATGAAAATTTGACAGAAACAAAAATCACCGGATATTATTTATAAAACAAACAAAAATAATCAAAACCAAATAACAAGCATAAAAACAGATGGCACATTATTAAAGTTTGAACCGAAGGGGAATTTGCATCAATATCTACACTTACTTACTATTCATGACCACAGAGAACATTTAAAACATCTAATTCAGATGCCATGTGATTTATCAAAGATGGCTTTGCAACAAAACTACAACTAGGCTACAAACAGGCTTCTAATAAGTTATTGTTAGCATGTGTAATAAATAAATAAACAAGTTAAAGTTGTAGGACCAGTTAGAAGGATAGTTGCTGTTAATATTTGGGGTTTCTCGCTCTTTTTTTCTTAATGAACTTGTACGTTTTCTTCTAATGTAAGGCAAGTAGTCATTGGAAACGGTTTATAATGTGCTCATCCAATGAAATGTTCAGATCTTGTGGTTCCCCTTGAAAGAAACCAAGCTATCAGACACAGACCAAAATACATGATAGATTAAAATTATCGTAAAGATAATTAAAAAAAGGTTTAAATCTATGAATCTAGTATCAGTTAACAATATAATAACATGTTCTATTAGGGTTTGACCAGTGTTGGGTAAGTTACTTAAAAAATGTAATCCGTTACAGTTACAAGTTACCTTGTTTAAAATGTAATTGTAATGCAACTTTTTCGATCACTTTTAAAAAGTAATGTAACTAATTACTTTTGATTACTTTTTGATTACTTTAAGGTTTTAATGAGTATTGACCCATGTTCAACATTTAATTTTTGAGAACTGAATGTGAACCTTAAAAAAGCACTAAGCTGAGAGGGAACTGCTGACAGGCAATCACAGGATGTCCACAAAAAGAGATGCCAGCACCAGGCATGTAAGATTTTCTAAGACTCCTCTCATCGGGCCAATAATGTTTTCTGTTCCTCCCCCAGGCTCTACCATTTACGCAGTTTGCAGACTAACACAAGCAGGTTCAGGTTGATAGCCGGCAAACACTTCTTGCACTGCACGGTTAAATTTGAGCCATTTTCACAGATGTAAATGAAATGCTCCTTAAATTTCCAGTGCTGGAAGGCTGTCATTTTTGATGCGCTGCTTGAGCTGAAATAGAACCGTCTGCTCGCTTCTGTTCCTCAAGGAGGCTCCACCAGCACAGGATGGATCATCAGAGTGGCAAATATGATAGAGACAAGGAGACGTAGTGGGAAACCGCGATACAGGGAGTGAAGCAATAAAAATATCATTACAGTAAACCCTCGTTTATCGCGGGGGGACGTTCCTAAAAGAACCCGCGATAGGATAAATCCGTGAAGTAGAAACCTTTATTTTTTTTAAGTTAATATACAATGAAATACTCCATACAACATTGAAATCATGAACAAAAACTTTTTACAGGCCCAAGCATTTGTTAAACGTTGCTGTTGTCTGTTTTTTTTTTTTTTTTTTACAAATGACTACTGTACTGTAGGCTACTGTAAAATAATATAGTTATCAATAAATAAGTAATAATTTTAATCATCAATACGAACTGAAGAGTTAATATTGCGGGGATCAGCACCGCCCCGCCGTGATGGATTGGAACGGGAGAAAATGAAAAATGATTATGAAAAAAAATACAAAGTACAGTAGGACAAATAGTGACTTACGTGTACAGTACAGTATTTAACTGCTGCTGCATCCTGACTCTGCTCTGTGGCGTTTTTTTCTTCTAAAGCCTTTCTTCTAAAGCAGGTGTTTTTTTTTTGGATAGAAGAACAGAGTTATCGGTAGTTGTTGTCGCTCTTTTTTCTTCTGGGCCTAAAGATCCTTATAAACCGACATGCCACTATCGATTATGTTCGACAATAAAGTTTAACAATGCATGATGCAAATCCGTGAAGCAGCGACACCGTGAAAAGTGAACCGCGTCATAGCGAGGGTTCACTGTACATATTTCGCAAAGGTTTTTCTTTATATTTTTTAAAAATGTAACTAAATTTGTAATTCCTAATATTTTCGGAAGTAACTGTAACTGAATTACATATTTTCTCATTGTAACTGTAACAAATTACAGTTACTCTGTTTTTGTAATTAAATTACGTAACGTCGTTACATGTAATCCGTTACTCCCCGACACTGGGTTTGACAGACTCACACATCACAATCCCAATGAAAATGAACTTAACTCCATTTTCATATCTTGATTCAAAATATCTAACAGCTTAATCCTACACGCTGATGACACGTTCACTGCAGAAACTCCACTAAATGAGCTGTGAAGATAAATATACTGTCCCTGCACAAGCAAGCATATAACATACTCAATTAACCTACCTGTGAACAAGATTAAGATGAAGAAAATGA